TTTGGCTGAAGGCGGGGGCGTTGTCGTTGACGTCGGACACCAGCACTGTGATGTTGTGCTGGGTCTGCAGCCTGGGGGTGCCCATGTCCGTGACCGTGATGGTGATGTTGTATTCGGACTGGCTTTCTCTGTCCAGGGAATGCTCCGTTACAAGGGTGTAGAAATTTTTGAAGGTAGGCTTCAAGAGAAAGGGAAGGTTGTCCTGAATTGAACAAACCATCCTCCCATTGTCCTCAGAGTCCTGGTCTCTTATGCTAAACACTGCAACCACCATTTCAGGTGATGAATTTTCTGGTATGGGACTGATCAGCGATGTCATGGCTATTTCTGGTGGGTTGTCATTTACATCTACAATGCGAACTAAAATGGTTGCTTTTCCTGAAAGGCTCCCACCGTCCATTGCCTGTATATTTATTGTGTAGGACTGAATTATCTCAAAATCCAAAAGTGCTTTTAAATGAACCTCACCTGAAATGGGATGGATTTCAAATGTTTTCCTTATGTCTCTGGACACGTGGGAAAATAAATAAGATATCTCTCCATTTATTCCAGCATCTAAATCTGTAGCAGACACCTTAGTGACCAAAGAGTCCAAAGGACTGTTTTCTGGTACATGAACCTCATAAAGGGACTTCTCAAACTGGGGGGCATTGTCATTAATATCTAAGATCAAAACACGAATCAGTACAGTACCAGACCTGGGTGGAGACCCACCATCCCAGGCTGTTAGCATTAGTTCAAGCTCAGGCTTCTCCTCTCGATCCAGAGATTGTTGTAGTAACAGCTCTGGGTATTTTGTACTATCATAATTATCTTGTAATTTAAGGTGGAAATGGGGGTTGGGGCTTAAAGTATAGTTTTGGATACTGTTCTTTCCTACATCCAAGTCCTGAGCACTATCCATTTGGAATGAGGTTCCTAGAGAAGTACCTTCTGAGATTTTTAGAAGTATATGTTTGTCCAGAAACATGGGAGCATGATCATTTATATCTTTGACCCAAAGTTCAGCCCGAAAAAATTGCAAAGGATTTTCAAATAATACCTGGAAATGCAATATACAAGGCTCAGTGACATCACAAAGTGCTTCCCGGTCCAGTTCCTCATTTATGATCAAGTTACCAGTTTGGGTTTCCAGCCACAAATACTGTTTATAGTCATCAAAGAGAACTCTGGCACCCCTTGCAGTCAGTTTTTCCACATCTAGACCTAAGTCTTTCACCATGTTTGCTATAAAGGAGCCAATTTCTGTTTCCTCTGCCACAGAATAGTGCAGGGTCTCTGAACACACCAGAGACCCTCCCAGGAAAACAAAGAAAAGCAGCACTTGCCTTATCCGCTGAGGGCTTCCCTCTCCAGACTGCATGGTGCCTTAGCCAAATGCCTTTCTGTAGAAATGTTTCAATTCAGTCCCAGAGTTGCTTCTCTCATTTATCAGCCCAAACGACTGGAGATAGATTTGTAATTTTGAACAGGGTATTGTCGTTTCTCTTGTTTTGAGAGCCTCTTTCCCCCTGCTGTGTTTTCAGGATTCTCTGTTCCACTGGTTAATGGAACCTGACAATCTGCTATTACAAAATTTTCTCCATCTTATCCTGCAGCGCCACCATGTGACTCTGCAGATGCTCAGGTTTTAAACTTTAGTAAGTTTGAGGCAAAATGTTGACTTGCCTTGTGCGTTTGTTAATATAATAAAAAATATGTTTATCCTATATTCCTGATTTTTGAGTGTATTCACTGTGAAGTATGGTGCTGTGGCCTTTCAGCCCATGGCACAATAAACCACAAACCACTGGAGTGATAGAAAAAGAATGTTTTAAAATTTATCCCCAAACTCATATAAGTTATGATCTCTCTGTGAAGATAACTACTAAAAGCAGTGAAGAGGACTCTCATATGTGATTGATTTACTAAGCAAGAAGTTCTTGGGAAAACTGGAATTGGGAACCAGAGGCCATGATTTGCCTCCCACTTTCAGAAAATACTCTTATGAAAGACAGTAAGAATTAGCCCATGCCCTAGAAACTGATTCTGAAGCATGCAAATAGTTGTTCTGGGAAGGCTGAACATTTCAGGCTGAAAAAATGATACCATTTATTTAGGAATATTCTGTAAGAGATGAATATGGCAGGAACCGAAAGTAAATGCTCTACAATGGTGACTAAAGTAAGATATGTCTAGTCTGATACCATTTTAAAAAGCTAACAAACTAGAACCCATTTTAATTGTAGAACTGAATTTCATCACTTTGTAGATACAGACTTTCCAGAAGTGTAAATCTAACCGTTTTATTCACTCACTCATTCATTTGTTCAGCAAATATTTATTGAGCATACACTTTGTGCTAAGTATGACTTTGATACAGGTTGGAGATAAAGTGATAAACAAAACAGTTCCACCTCTGAAAGGGGACAGAAAAGCAATTTAAACTAGAGCATAATGAATGCCAAGAGAGGGGAAGTTCATGCTATAAGAGCATAGATGAAAGTCATCTGACCAGAAGTCAGAAATTCAGGAAAGACTTTTCTGAAAAAAATATATTCCAAGTTGATATATACAAAAACAAAGTGGAATAATGCAAAACAAAACTAAATGAATGTGGGGTGAAATTTTCCAGGCAAACTAGATATGATTATAGAAATTCAAAATGAGAGAAGTATTTTGAAAGAACTGAAATAATGTCAGTTGAACTGAGACATGGAACAAGCAGAGAAAAATCTCTCCAAAATTGAAATTAGAAAGATGAACAAATATTTTTTAAGTTATGTCAAGGTATTTGGACTTTAAATCAGCAGAAATACAAGATTAGTAAAAGAATTTAAATAGAAAAGTGACAAGATCATATTTTTATTTTTCAAAATATTGTCCTATTTCAAAGTTGGCAATAAATTAGAGAGGTCAAAGACTAGAGGCAGGAAACCAATTCAAAGTTATTGTAGTAATACAGGTAAAAGATGATCTGGCCTCAACTACAAATGAGGTAATAAGATTGCATTAGAGTGATAAATATAAAATAGATACAGTGATAGATTAGATATACAGAGAATGGAATGATTTAGTGAGCTCAGTGAATAGTGGTGCTATTAACTCAGAGTGAACATAGGAAGGAAGAGAGGAGAGAAGAATAGGTTTGGAGCTAGAGAAAATGTTTAATTTTGAGAAAAGGAAAACTGTTGAGTTTGAGGTCTATCTATGGATTGCTTCATGGAAACAATTTTCATTACATAAATGATGTTGAAGAAAGAGGTTTTGACTGAAAAGACAAATTTGGGATTTATTAGTATAAATTGTGATTTAAGCCCTTGAGAGCTTTAGTAGGTCATAAAGTAAGAGAAGGATGTTTGACTTTGATTTCAATAATAATGCAGCTCCAGAGAGTGCTCATGGTTTTAGGTGACGAGCAGAAATGAATGTCACAAATGATGAAGAAATCTAGAAACAGAGATAGGTCAAACTCTAGATTGAGAACTATGGCAAGGAGAGGGCAAAGTCAAAACTTGTAAAAAGTCATTGTATTTGAGAGAAGTCTTCACACACTTTTCTCCTGTGGTCTTGATTATTTTAAAACTGGTATCCAGTTGATTTGAATTCTTATTTCATGACACATCCAGAATACTGTTCAGGTAGGAAGGTTTGCTAATTTCTTTAAGATACATTTTTCTTTTGAAAAAAGCTACTATTGAAAAATAATCTTCAATAGGGAATATAGTTGTTAGTATAGCAGCTATGTATTTGAGGGTTACTATGATTTTTCTTAAAAGATTTCTCTTTGTCATGTCTTTCTAAAATTCTACTGTGATGTTGAGATATTCTGTAAAATTTTTTCCTTAAGGTTAATTGGTTAATTTGCATTTCTGGAATCTGTTTTCATTAATTTTGGGAAATTCCTAGTTATTACTTCTTCAAATATTGCTTGGAAAATCCAATCTTTTTCACCCAGAGTTCTGGTTAAATTCATGTTAAACCCTTTTTTTCTGCCCTACGTGTCTAGCCATCTCCTGTTTTTCACATCACTAACTCTCCAACCCGCATCAAATACATTTATTTTATGACATTTTTTATTTCATTAATTATTTAGCTGCATCTAATTTTGTATTAAACTTTTTACTCAATTTAAACATTTGATTGATATGTTTTTCATTTCTAGGAGTTCTGTTTGGTCCTTTTATAATAGGTCTCATTTTATAGTTTTTTGTTCCCAGTACATCTTCAAGTTTAACTTTTACTTCAGTTAAAGTGGTTCACATATTGTAGACTGTGTCTGATAATTACAACATTTAAAGTGCTGTGTTCCCCCCACCCTTTACTTATGATGTTGTATTTCCTTGTGTATGTAATTATCTTGACTTTGACTTAAGGATATAAAAAGTATTGCACGAATCATTTGAGGATTAGGACATACAACCTTTCTTTTATAGGCTCTCTGCATTTGGTTTCCTCAGAAGCTGGAAGTACTACCTGTGAATGACCACTTTAAATTAACTTTAACACTGAAAATCAAGTTGAAGTCCAAAACTGCACACAGAGGGCTCATACAATTCCAGTTTACTCTCACCCTGAGGATCTACCTCCTAAGTGTCCATACTTATGAATGGGAGAGTCTTAGGACATTGAGTCCCTTGCTCCTACACCTTATATAAACTAGTGAATTAGAGGTTCGAATTTCCCAGGATTCTGAATATTCTCAGAGATTAAGTGGATTTGAAGCTAATTTATCTCTCTGGGTTTCTTTCTTTTTTTAAGACATGAAATGCTTATTATATATATATATATATATATATATTTATCATTCTTCATTTTGCACATTTTCATCTCGGTTGTAATCCCTGTGGACTTCCCACCACAAATTCACCCATGAACATCACCACTGGGTTTCCTTTGACCTGGCTCAATTTACTCATGTCTTACTAGCTAATTGTTTTCACTGGAGGTGCTGGTCTATATAGCCTATACCATCCTTTCTTAAAATATAAAATCTCAGGCATATCAGTATACTTCAAGATAACAAGGAAGATCTTAACTTCCTTGGGGAATCAGAATTTCAATACATCCTAGTGCTATTCCACACCTCATCCTAGTGATCAAATTCCCTACCTGTAATCCTCAATTAAGCTGTGTGCTTATAGACTTGAGACTCTATATACATATCACAATGAGGCTTCTATAAATCATAAATATCCTCCTTTGAGATTATCTGTGAAAGTCCAGAGTTTTAAGGATAACTACAAGTAATGAATAGAAAAGAGAAAGTCATTTCCATTAACAGTTTTTGAAGGTTAACTCCAATTTCTTTTTTTGTCTGTTTGTTTTAATCTTATTTTTTGCACATATAAAAAATAACTGGGTATAGGCCAGAAGAAGGGAGAGGGTTGAGAGAATTCACAAGAGACAGGTGGATTTACTGAAATACACTACTGAGGGGAGCAGCTGGTGAGACCATATGTGGGCCAGCTCTCATAGTTCCCAGGAAGAAACTCAGGTCACAGGGAGTAATGGTGATAGCACTGAGACTTAACCCTTAAGTTATCAGGGAAGCCCCATTTCAATTTCTTAAGAAATGTTAATGTATTCTTTTGATGATTTTTTAAAAAGATTTATTTATTTGTGCTTACAGAACTGGGGTACAGACCAGAGGTGTGTTGGGTGAGAAGATTCACCAGAGACAGAGTGAGGAGCAGAACAGGCCTATCTACTGAAATATCCTGCTGAGGGTAGCAGCGGAAGGGTGAGGAGAGGTTTGCCACACCACGTGGGTCAGCTCCCTGGGGGAGGATCAAATTCGTGCTGCAGTGGCTTCCAAGAGCTTCCTAATGCAGTGCTTTAATCTGTTGCGCCACCAGGGAGAGCCCTCTTCTGATGATTTCACTCAGGGCAATACCTTAAATAGCATTCTGGGCTTATAATAAATGGTATAAAATAATATGAAATTTAAGTGTATTTTTTTTTTTGAGAACAGAATATGTGGCTTTATTGAACGGTACTGTTAAGGGGAGCAGCTGGTGAGACAGGAGAGCTCTGCACATGAATGTTTTGACACTCTTTTACACTCTGTTCTTTCGGGCTTTCTAACTTGGGGGCTCCAGTTTGCACCAATTATCTGGGGTGCCTGGTGTTGGGCACTGGCCTTTGACACAGAAACGTGTCTTGGCTGCTGCTTCTGCATTCCTGGAGCTGGACTGGTTCTTCTGGTCAGTTGTTTTTTTTATATATGTAAGTTTATTTTTACATCATTTTGTACATTTTTTCCCCATCTCAATTGTAATCCCCACGGGTTTCCCATCAACAAGTCACCCGTGAAGCACAGTGTATTTAAAGGAAAAAATAGCAATATCAAAGGCCAAAATATAAGATTCATTGCCTATAACATCATCAACAAAAATTGTTAAATATGTAAAAATCAGTAATTTTTAAAATCAGCATGGTCTCTTATTTTGTGATAAGGGAATTCTTGAAAATTGTTATATAATAAAATCCAAACAAGGCTTTCTAGTACTGAATATAGGGTGGTAGCTATTTTTTTACCCTTTATGATGAAAATTTCCAGGCACAAACTTGGATTAAAAATCCAATATACTGGCCCTTCCTGGTGGCGCAGCGGGTTAAAGCACAGCACTTAGAATCTGAGGCCGCTTCCGCATGAGTTCGATTCCCGCCTGCCGCCTGCCCCGGAGGAGACCACATGGCGAGCCAGACCTCTCCTGACCCGCCCACTGCTTCCCTCAGCAGTGTGCTTCGTAGATCTGCCTGTTCTGCTCCCCACTCTGTCTCTGGTGAAGCCTCTCACCACCCCTGAGCCTCTGGCCTGTACCCCAGTTCTGTATGAATAAATAAATAAATCTTTAAAAAAAAATCCAATATACTTCCCACCTAGTTTCAACATTATTATGTATGTTGTAGCATTCACTCAATACTTAGTTGTATCTTCAAATAATTACATTGTCTTACATAACAATCCCATTATTACAAGAAAACCTAGCACATTACTCATAAATACAATTTTTGATCAACCACATGAAACCAGAAAACAGATTATATTTCCGTTTCATAAAATAACTATAATATCATGAGAAATAATGCATGCAGCAGTAGTGCAATCTGAAATCCATTACCGGATAGGGGAAAGTAAGCGCAGTTTATAAAGAACTATAATTATTTTATTTACTGTTAAATTCGAAACTATTGTGGAGGTTCGCATTTTCCTCCATATTTTTGCTAGTTTCGTCGAAGGGAAAATTGGGGATAATCGGTTTCAGAAACTTGAACTCATTGGTCCCAGCGTCCCCCGAAAGACACACCTCATACTGGTAGCTGTGGGACAGCGTCCCGGCGCCGCTGACGTCCACCAGGTGGCCCGGGAAGTGGC